GTGTGTGAGCGTGTGTGTGAGCGTGTGTGTGAGCGCGTGTGTGAGTGCGTGTGTGAGTGAGTGTGCGTGTCAGCGCGTGTGTGTGAGCGTGTGTGTGAGCGTGTGTGAGCGTGTGTGAGTGAGTGTGTGAGTGAATTTAGCAGATTCTGCAAGGTGTATGTAAGTTATTTTCATCATTGACTGTTTAGTTGTTAAATGAGGCTGTTTGTAGGCTGAGAATCTGTCTTTGGGTGTGTGTGTGTGGAGTGAGTGAGTGAGTGTGTGTGTGTGTGTTTGAGAGAGTGTGTGTGAGTGTGTGTGTGTGAGTGAGTGTGTGTGTGTGCCAGTGTTGGGGAAAGTTACTTTTAAAAGTAATGCATTACAATATTGCGTTACTCCATGAAAAACTAACTTATTGTGTTACTTAGTCGCTTTTTATGGAAAGTAATGCATTGTTTACTATTGTGTTACATTTTGTCACTGTTTTGTGAAAAAGTAACCACTTTTGTTACTTTGCGTGTACACCACATCCAAGTCATATTTCACCTCAGAATAATAATTAAAAAATAAAATAAAGTACCATAAAATTTTGAGCATGGGCTGTTATAGCTAACTAAAACTATTTTAAAAAACATTGTCGTTACTAAAAATAAACATTAACTGAAAATAAATTTATTTTAAAAACTTATTTTATTTCAGCTAGCTGCCAAGGAAACATTTCTCAATTTCATTTAGTTTAACTTGTACTTAAATGAACTAAAACTGAAATAAAAATTTATGAAAACTATATAGGCATATATTTAAAACAAAACCAAAAGCTATTTATTTATTCTATTTTATCTATCCATTTATGTTTATTTTCACTTGAGTTTCAGTTGACTGAAATAACTAAAACTAAAAGTGAAATTTATTTAAAAAACAAATGTGTGTGTGTGTGTGTGCCAGTGTTTGAAAAAGTTAAGTTTAAAATTATTAATATTGCGTTGCTCCATAATAAAGTAACTATTTGTGTTACGTAGTTACTTTTTATGGAAAAAGTAATGCATTGTTACTTGTGTTACTGTTTTGTGAAAAAGTAACCCCTTTTGTTACTTTTTGATACTTTTTGTAAAATAGCACTGATTGTGGCATTATTTACATGACATTTAGCCCATGATATTTCTCATTTGCAGTGATGTTTGAACTGGATGTGTTTTTGAGAGATTTATTCTAGACTCGTGTGTGTGTGTGTTTGTTTGTTTGTGTGTGTTTGTGTTTGTGTTTGTGTGTGTGTGTGTGTGTCTGCGTCTGCAGGTATCTGGTGTTTTATTGTCCTCTGGATGCCGTGTACTCGCTGGCGTCCGTGTTGCCCGTGCGTCTGGTCTTGACGGCGATGAAGGAAGTGACCCGTACCTGGAAGGTTCTGGGCGGAGTCACACAAGCAGGAAGGAAGTACAAAGACGGTCTGTTTGTGATGATCGCGGTGGGCTGGGCTAAAGGTACGGCGCGACTCTAATTACACTCATCCATCCACGTTAGTTTTTTCCAGTCAGATATCGAGCGGGATGTGACAGTATTCTTGGCTTGACATTTCAGTGTTTAAAAGCTCAAGGTTATTTCATCACACTCATTATTAAAACCCATGATGCATTTCACCCCGCTGTCCTTCAATTACAGCGAGAAAAGCTTTGAAATATCAAGAGGTCGAGGTGACTAATTACAATCGCCACTGAAATAATAAAAGTTTAAGAGCCAAAACACATCAGCGAGCGACTCGTGCATCATCCTGAGAGTTATTGACGGAGTTATTATCGCTAGCGGATGCTATCTCTGATCTCCAGACGTGATTGTGTGTCTGCAGGAGCCGGTGGAGGACTCTTGAGTAACTTTGAGCAGCTGGTTCGAGGCGTCTGGAAACCAGAAACCAACGAACTCCTGAAGATGTCATAGTAAGAGTCTTAAATATTCCAGATATACGACACAAGATCATTTCTGAAATGGTCACAGACACTGAAGTCAAGGAGCACCACATTCAGGTCATATTTCACCTCATAATAATACAATTAAATAATATAAGTAATTTGTGCATGGGTTGTTAAAACTAACTAAAACTATTAAAAACATTGTTGTTACGTGAACTAAAATAAGCATTAACTGAAATACATTTTTTTTTAAAAAGCTTTATTTCAGCTACATTTTTTAATTTCATTTAGTTTAACTTGTAGTAAATTAAATAAAAATGAATTAAAACTATATAGACATATTTAAAAAAAACAGAAGCTATTTATTTATTCTATTTAATCTATCTATTTATATTTATTTTCACTTGAGTTTCAGTTGACTGAAATAACTAAAACTAAAAGTGAAAGTTATTAAATGAATATTTGTTTTAAAAAAAATCACAAAACTAATACAAATTATTGTTGTGTTTTTATAATTTTATTATTATTTGTTTATATGTATGTATAATTAACACATTTGTTTCAGTAAATTAAAAAAACAAAAAATACAGACCTATAAAAGAAAATTAAAAAAACTAATAAAAAATCGAGTTTTTTTTTATAAAAACGAAAACTGATTTTTAAAAAAATTAATATTTGTATTAAATAATTTAATTTATTATTTTGGATTTGACAATTTTCTTTTTTCTTTTTTTTAATGCATTTTTATTTCAGTTTTAGCTTTGCTTAATTTAATCAAGTTAAACTCAATGAAAATGAAAGATGTTGCTTTGACAATTTTAGTTAAAGTTTTAGATTTTTTTATTTCTTAAATTTAAAATGATATCTAAACACATAAAATCCCTCAGACAGCAGCTTTTGTTTCTGAATGTCTGAACATCATTTCAGATCTGCAGGATCTTTTCTCTTCTCTACTGTCGCTGTTCTAAAAGACATTCATGAGACAAAGTGCTCATGTTTGAGGACGCTCATTGTGTTAATGAGCTCATCTGAACTCATAAATGAGATGAAAGCATCACGGATGAGCTGTTTTTGTCCAGATTTGATGGCGGTGTTTGTCTGCAGAAGCTGAGTCTCTTTCTCTCAGAATAATAGCGTTTGCTCCCAGAATGCCGCAGGTAGAATAATTGGCTTCTGTATTGATTTCTTGGAGACACTTGTTGTCATGGTTTTTGTGCGAGTGGCATTTGAAAGGGTTTGTGTGGAAGAACGCAGGAGAGTAAGCGGTATGTACTGGAAACAGAGATACATAACGTAGTATAAGTAATAACAGATAAAGGATAGTGTCAATAAGTAACAAACAAAGAATAGTAAATGCAACAAAAACACACAGAACGAAAATACTCAAGAGAGAATTATAGCTGGTAGTATAAGATGAGGAGAGTGTCTAAAGAACATGTTATGACTGATAGTATTGGAAAAATTGTTGTAGCATCAAGGTTGAAACTGGGAGCATTTGCTATATTTTTTGTTAGTGAAAGGGGGTCAGTTTTGCTCAAATTCAAACTGAGAAAATTAGAATTTAGCCAGGCCTTTAGCTCATTGACACGGGTAGATAGTGATGTGGTCTGGTGAATATAATCTGGTCTGCATGCAGTGTGTATCTGAATATCATCAGCATAACAGTGATAATGAAAATCATGACGACGGATAAAATGTCCAAGAGGCATGATGTAAGTAATGAATAGTAATGGCCCTAGAACAGAGCCCTGGGGAACACCCTGACTGAGTAAAGTAGTGGGAGATTTATAATTATGCATAGTGATGTAGTATTGTCTATCAGTGAGATAGGAAGAGAACCAGGGTCGTGCTGCACCTGAGACACCTATCTCTGAAAGGCGGGAGAGTAATATCTTGTGATAGACAGTATCAAATGCTGAGCTGAGCTCGAGCAGCAGGAGAATGGAGAGATTACCTGAGTCACCCGAGAGTAACAAATCGTTGACAGCCTTAACTAAAGCAGTTTCAGTGCTGTGATGAGAGAGCGAAAACCAGATTGAAATGCATCGAACTGATGGCTGAGAGCTAGAAAAGACTGTGGCTGATTGGCATAATTTTCTAAATAAATGGTAAATTGGAGATTGGACGATAGTTGGTGAAATCAGCTGGGTTCAGGTTTGGTTTTTTTAAGAACAGGAGTAACGGCAGCAGTTTTCAGTGAAGTTGGAAACGGTGGCAGAGATAAAGGACGTATTTACTAAGTGTGACACAGGAGCAGAAATGACAGAAGTGCAGTGTTTCAGAAGGAATGTGGGCGCAGGATCTAACTGGCATGTGGAAGAATTAGAGTTCTGTATTATTTCAGCAATTAAGGTTGGAGTTGTCAAGGTGAAATTATTTAACAGTTGAGCTTGCGCACAAGTAGAAGTGGTTGGTTCAGTGCCAAGAGACCCACATAGAGCGTCGTTTTATTTTTAAAAAGTGGCGCAAGAAAGAGCCACACAAATCATCACATTCATATCGACTGAGACTATAGTTAGGTAGCTGGACTAATTGATTAACCATGCTAAACAGTGTTTTTGGCCTATTGTTAGCTTTATTGATGATGTTGGAAATATAGGAAGAGCGTGCTGCCTTCAATGCAGTTTTATAATGCCTAATATGTTCTGAAAATATATGAAAATGGACAGTCAGGCCAGTTTTTCTAAAAAGGCGTTCAAGCTGTTTGCCTTTTGCCTTCATAGCACGAAGCTCAGCGTTATACCAGGGAGAGGTGTGGGACAAAGCAACAGACCAAGTCCTAATTGGAGCATGCTCATCTGAAACATCAACAATAACAGAATGATATAGGTCAAATATCACAGATGGACAGGTGAATTTGAAAACATCAGAAATAGTAGAGGAAGCAGCAGAAGTATTTACATTGATAGCATTGATTTTGCGATAAGAAATGGTAGTATTACCAGCACATTTAGTAGGATGTATTAACGTAAAGTCAAAAGTGATAAGCTTATGATCGGAGATAGGAATAGCATGACTACTGATGGAGATGTTGTTCACACCAGACGTACAAACTAAGTCAAGTGTGTGACCACGAGTGTGGGTTGGGAAATTAACATTCTGGGTAAGATTAAAGCAGTCCAGGACAGTCTGATTTTTATGACAAAAATCATTAGGATATTAAGTAAAGATCATGTTCCATGAAGATATTTTGTAAATGTCCTACCGTAAATATATAAAAACGTAATGTTTGATTAGTAATATGCATTGCTAAGAACTTCATTTGAACAACTTTAAAGATGATTTTCTCAATATTTAGATTTTTTTGCACCCTCAGATTCCAGATTTTCAGATATTGTGCTATCCTAACAAACCATACATCAATGGAAAGCTTATTTCTTTGCTTATGATGCATAAATCTCAATTTTAACAAATTGACCCCTATGACTGGTTTTGTGCTCCAGGGTCACACATAATCGATAAATGTTCAATAAACACTGTAAAAATATCTACCGTAAATATATAAAAACGTAATGTTTGATTAGTAATATGCATTGCTAAGAACTTCATTTGAACAACTTTAAAGATGATTTTCTCAATATTTAGATTTTTTTGCACCCTCAGATTCCAGATTTTCAGATATTGTCCGATCCTAACAAACCATACATCAATGGAAAGCTGATTTCTTTGCTTATGATGCATACATCTCAATTTTAAAAAATTGACCCCTATGACTGGTTTTGTGCTCCAGGGTCACACATAATCGATAAATGTTCAATAAACACAGTAAAAATATTTCTGGCCATAAACATTTTTTTTTTTTTATTATTATTTTGAATTTAATTTATTAGTTGAAAGAGTGACCCATAAAATCAAGTAGAAATGACAAAAGCAATTATTGTGAGAGTTAAATGGATTCAAACAAATGATGAAGACACGTTTACAGTGAATAGCAATTTATTATTAATAATAATCACACTATACAATTCTTCCACTAAGTAATATTAGAAGGGTTATGGTTGCAGAGTGACGTTAAACTTGACCTATTTCTATAGAATGTGCATCTCAGTCGTGTGTTAATTGTCTGTTTTACATTGTAGAGTAGGAGTTATATTTAACTTTCCTCATTTAACCTTTGACCTCTCTGTGTGTGTGTGTGTGCGCGTGTCTGTGTGTCTGTGCGTGCGTGTGTGCGTGTCTGTGTGTGCGTGTCTGTGTGTCTGTGTGTGCGTGTCTGTGCGTGTCTGTGTGCGTGTCTGTGTGTGCATGTCTGTGTGTGCGTGTCTGTGTGTCCGTGCATGTCTGTGTGTCTGTGTGTCTGTGCGTGTGTGTGCGTGTCTGTGTGTGTGTGTGTGTCTGTGTGTGCGTGTCTGTGTGTGTGCG